GGCGACAGAGTGAGACTCTGTCTCAAAAAAAAGTTAAAAACTAAGTTTCCAAGGCGTTATGCTGTGGTCCTTAAAAGTCCTTTAGAATAATTTTCTGGAATAAATTAAGAGAAAACCTAAGTGTTTCCTAGGGGATGCTTACCAACTCCTCGCCCCTCCCCCTCACTCCCTTTTATTTTAATTGTGACTTAGGGTTAAATACAAACTACTAGCAGCTGTTGGTGGAAAAGAGCCCAATGCCAAACTCTGGGGTTTTCCTTTGTTCCCACGGGAGGCCTTGGGAGGAATGAGTGATCCCAAAGGAATGAGCAGACTTGGGGAATCCTCCAAGTGCCACCTCTGACTAATCTTGGCTGTTGCCAGGAAAACCCAACTTGGATTTCAGCTATTACTTTCCCTGCGATCCTGGTGCTGACTATTCAAGGGGACAGCTCTTCGAGATCTTCCTGTATACAGTACTTCCCAGTCCCCAGGTCACAGTCACCAGTGGAGGAAATCTTGAATCCCTTTTGTTGCAGGGATTGCGGCGCGACTGGGTTTAGAATGGGAATGCATGGGTTTGCATACCCCTACTCATCTAATTTCTTCATCTGGTCCACAGACCTTAGGAGTGCTTTAGTGTGTGTGGTAGGCCTGGGAATTCAGGGATCTCTTCCTTTGAAGAGTTCCAAGTATTGGGAGTTAAATAAGCAAACAATTAAAATCCAGCGTGCTCAGTGAATGGTAGAGGATACTATGGATACTAGGAGAACACTGAGGAGGGGCTTCCAAGTCCTCTTGGAGTGGTCACAGGATAATTTCTGCAGGAAGCAACATTGGGTAGAAATTTGAAAACAACAATAACACTTATTGTAACTTTTTAATCTGTACAAAGATTTCATTCTTAGAAGGCTTGGAAAATATATAATGTATAAAAAATGATTTATAAATACATGAGCCAAAGATAAACATTTTCATATTTCTTTCTAGTCTTTTTATGCATACGTAACAAATATTTGCATAACTGTGATCATACTGATTATAAAATTAAGCACAGTCATTCACTGCACAACAATGTTTGAGCCAGTGATGGATCATGCATTCAACAGTGGTCCCATAAGATTATAATAGAGCTAAAAAATTCCATTTGCCTAGTGACCTTGTAGCTGTCTAGCACAGTACTTTACTCATGTGTTGTGGTGATGCTGGTGTAAACAAACTACTGTGCTGCCAGTTGTATAAAAATAGAGCACATACCAATTATATGTAGTGTGCAATACTTGATAATGGTAATAAATGACTATGTTACTGCTTTATGTATTTACTACATTATACTTTTCATCATTATATTAGAGTGTATTCCTTTTACTTATTAAAAAAGCAGTAAAACTTTAAAAAAAAAAGTTTTAAAAACAGCCTCAGGCAGGTCTTTCAGGAGGTATTCCAGAAGAAGGCATTGTTATCATAGGAGATGTGTGTTGCCCCAAAGACCTTGCAGTGGACAAGATGTGGAAGTGAAAGACAGTGATATTGATGATCCTGACCCTGTGCAGGCATAGGCTAATACATGTGTTTGTGTCTTAGTTTTGTGTGTGTGTGTGTCTTAGTTTTTAACAAAAAACTTAAAAAATAAAAAAACAAAAATTTTAAAGATAGAAAAACCTTACAGAAGAAGGATATAAAGAAAGAAAACATTTTCTACAGCTGTACAATGTGTGCTTTAAGCTAAGTGCTATTACAAAAGAGTCAAACATTTAAAGAATTTACAAGTTAGGCTGGGTGCGGTGGCTCACACCTGTAATCTCAGCACTTTGGGAGGCCCAGGCGGGCGGATCACGAGGTCAAGAGGTCAAGACCATCCTGGCCAACATGGGGAAACCCCGTTTCTACGGAGAAAGAACTAGCCGGGCGTGGTGACACGTGCCTGTAGTCCCAGCTACTTGGGAGGCTGAGGCAGGAGAATCGCTTGAACCCAGGAGGAGGAGGTTGCAGTGAGCCGAGGCTGCACGAGTGCACTCCAGCCTGGAGACACAGCGAGACTCCATCTCAAAAAAAAAAAAAGCAGAAAAAAGAATTTCCAAGGTTATAACATAAATTTATAGTAATCTAAGGTTAATTTATTATTATTATTTTGGTTTTTTGAGACAGGGGCTTCCTCTGTCACCCAGGCTAGAGCGCAGCAGTATAATCTTGGTTCACTGCAACCTCCGCCTCCCGGGTTCAAGTGCTTCTTGTCCCTCAGCCACTCGAGTAGCTGGGATTACAGGCATATCCCACAGCGCCTGGCTAATTTCTGTTTTTTTAGTAGAGATGGGGTTTCACCATGTTGGCCGGGCTGGTCTCAAACTCTTGGCCTCATGTGATTCACCCATCTTGTCCTCCCAAAGTGCTGGGATTATAGGCATTAGCCACTGCATCTGACCAGGTTATTTTATTATTGATAAAAGAAAAACTGTTTTAAACATAGTGTAACCTTAAGTGTACAGTGTTTCTAAAGTCTACAGTAATGTGCAGTAATGTCCTAGGCCCTTACATTCACTCACTACTCACTCACTGACTCACCCAAAGCAACTTCCAGTCCTGCAAGTTCCATTCATGGTAAGTGTCCTATCTGTACAGCATTTTAAATCTTTTATACCGTATTTTTACTGCACTTTTTCCATGTTTAGGTACACACATACTTACCATTGTGTTATAATTGCCTACAGTATGCTATTCAGGGTTGTACCGGTAGTAGGAGCCCTCGACTGTACCATACAGCCTAGATGTGTAGTAGACTACACCATCTAGGTTTGTACAAGTACCTTCTATGATGATTGCAGGATGAAATCGTGTAAGGACACATTTCTCAGAATGTATCTTCATCATTAAGTGACATCTGACTGTTTCTATTTTTAACCCATACTCTTTCCTTTTGTTCTTACTCTTTCCTGTGTTACTAAATATTTATCAAGAACATGTGTTTATTCATTTACTGATTCTTTTCACCTTTTTATTTGACAAGTAACTGTTCAACTGTACTGTACTGTGGCTTCTCTCTTCTCTCTTCTCCAATCTGCCAGCAGGGCTCTGAGGCCTGAGTCATCTCCAGGAGGATGCTGCAGGGTTTCTAAGACATTGTGCTAAGTACTGGGAATACAGTGGTGAAAATGGTCAGCCCATCTTGCTCTTCCTGTTCTCATGTGGTTTCTTAATGACTCTATGTACTGGCAGGTCCGTAAAGCTTCAAGTATCAGCCATGCTTATAGTCTCTCTAGGAAAAGGGGTCTTAGGCAGTTCTTTCTCCAGGAAGTAGTTATACCTTGTCAACCACATGCATACAGCGAAGCCAGCTCTGCTTCCCTAGTGACAGCTGATGGCACCAGGGACCAGTGCCTAAGCCCGAGCTGCCCAGCAAGGATAGTGTCCTAGCAGGAGGGTAGCCAACTGAATGGCCATTGGAGGAATGAGAGCAGAGGCCCCATCCATGTGATCTCTGAAATGATGAGAAGGCAATGTTCAAATCTTCTACCAGGGCTGAGGTAAGTTCCAATGTACAAAATGCTGGGAGCTGGAGAGATTGATCCACTAATTAGGCAGTACTGGGTATTTTACCACTTCTCCATGTGGCATAGCCACAAAATCCTGTTACCTTGTGGTTCTCAACTTTTTTGGGTTTGTGGCTATGGCACAGAAGGTGAGCTATCTACCAGAAATGTGTGTTCCTCTTTTCATGATGTAGAGTTTTGGCCGCTCAGCTAGGGATTGTATTCCTACCACCTCATGCCCCTAGGTAGAACTATGTGACTAGCCACCAACACAATGGGACTGGAAGTGATATGTGTCACTTGTAGGCCAAGGCAGTAAAGAGGTGACTTTTCCATATTCTTTCTCTCTACCTGCCAGAACTCCAAGGTTCTAAGGATGGAAGAGTCGTAGTTGGAAAGAGCCTGGGTACCTGAATCACCGTATGGAGGAAAATCACTTGCTGAGCAGCAACATCCTCATTAGACTAGCTATGTGGGTGAGAAAGAACCTTGGAATTTGAGTATTTATTTGCTACAGAATAACCTTAACAAAGTGCTAGTATTGAGTGCTAGTATTTTTGGCAGCACATTTGAAAGGATTAATTTGCATGTGTAGTAATTACACTATTAAACTGACAACACCTCAGCATAGTGTCATTGTTTGAGTAGAACTACTTGCTGCCCTGGTCACTCTCTTAGATACTCATGAAGCAAAGTTCTCACAGGTCTTAGCAAATGCATAGTGTCGTTGTTTCTTGATGTGTATCAAGCTTTGCCCTGTACCACATGGAAGCCTGTGAAAACCCAGCTCAACATTCTGTCTGCCCAGATACCACGTCAACAGCATGAATCATAGTTGTAAAAACTTTACCTGCCAATTGCAATGCCTTGGGAAGGAGTCTCAGCACTTCTTCCTGCCTCCTCGGTTGAGAATCACTGATTTGCAGTAATCTGGTCAAGACATTTTGCTGGCAATCCAAAAAGGAAGAC